AGCACTCTAGCATAGGCAACAAAGTGAGATTCTGCCTCAATAAATTAATTAACTAATAAAAAATAGATCTAAAAAGCAGAGTGAGATTATGTCTCAAAAAGAAAGAAAAGAAAAGAAATGCAGCATCTCATTTCCATGCCAGACCTGCTGATATAGAATCCTCACCCCATTAAGAACCCCAGTTACTCTCTTTAGGTGTCAATTTGAAAAACTCTACTTTGGAGATGTTTTCATCCCATCCCTTTACTATACCAATGGGAAATTGTGAATTAGAGAAGCTTTTGCCTATGGGATGAGGCTGGAATCTCCCAGCTGAATGAGTGGTAGCAGGATGGCATGGGCCCAGATCTCCTGCAGCTCAGAGGGGCTTCTGGAGAGAGGACTTCCACAGTACCATAAAGATCAGACTGAAGACATCCTGAGTCCAGACCACAGCCTTGTTTGAGCAGACTGCTGGAAGGAATAAGAGTCAGAAAACTCTGCACCAGAGGCATTAAGCCAGTTCCAAATCAGCAAGCTTAGCTGGCTCATGCAGAATACATCCTGCTGACCTGCTGGAAATGAAGTCAGGCACTTTGCATTGATGAGCTGTGCCCCAAGCATCAAGCCTGAGGCAGAGGAGATCAGCCAGAGAAAGAAGAGAGGGGAGCCAAACAGCCCATTTGCTATAATGAATTGGGTTGGCATGGAGAAGTCCAGAATCCCAACATTTATCATTTGGCTGGATTTAAGGAATCATAAAATCTCACGACTGGAAAGCAGCTTAAAAGTATCTGTTCCAACTACTCATCAGACCCCGAACCCTGTGATTCCAGTGAGAGGCTGTCTGGCCTCACTGTCATCCTCCAGTGATAGCCTCACTTGCCTCAGTGCTTTTCAGCAGAAACCTACTCCTTACCTGACTCACTCTGAACCAGCAATTTGAGATCTAAGACTCAAGCTTAAGGAAGTAAATCCCAAATATGGGGAAAGCTACATGTGCAAAGTTATTTCTACAGCAAAATGTATAATACAGTTAAGTCTTGATAGCTTGGAGATAGTAACGAGAGAGATAAACGACTTATACAGCCTTGACTGAAGAACGGTTCTCCACCATCTGTAAAAGGCACTCTCTCAGCAAATAGTTTCTGCAAGGATATACAGAATAGGAGTTTTCTGACTCTTATTCCTCCAAAAAGTCTGCTTGACCATGGGTGTGGTCTGGACCCAGGATGTCTGCAGTCTGACTTTTAGGGTACTGTGGGCGTTGGTCTCTCCAGAGTGACAGAAGTCAGAACCAGAGCTCTCCATAGCAAGGGTCAGATAGTAAATATTTCTGGATTTGTGGCCCATGTGGTCTTGGTTGCAACTACTCAACTCTTCTACTATAGTGTGAAAGAAGGAAAAGATGATATGTAAATGAGTGTGTATGAATGTGTTCCAATAAAACTTTATTTAGAAAAACAGGTGGTTAAAAAAAAAAAGAAAAATACAGGTAGAAAGCTGGATTTAACCTCAGACTGTAGTTTGCTGATCCCTGATCTCTACTCTCACACTAATTAATTTTAAATGGCAAAAAAAATTTTTTTTAAATATCCTACATTTTCTCCACGTACAACGGTTCTCATCCTATGGGTCGCGATCCCTTTGGGGGTTTAACGACCCTTTCACAGGGGTCGCCTAAATACATCCTGCACATCAGATATTTATATTATGACCCATAAACAGTAGTAAAATTACAGTTATGAAGTAGCAACGAAAATAATTTTATGGCTGGGGGTCACCACAACATGAGGGTCACGGCATTAGGAAAGTTGGGAACCAGTGACAGAATAAGGAAATGGTTTAGTAAATTATTCATTCATCTGATTCATTCAATCCACAGTTATTTATTGAGTGCTTGCCTATGTCAGACCCTGCACTGAGTACTGAGGATAAGGTAGTGAGAGAGTCAGGAAGGCATACTGAGTTAAAGTAATATTACAGAAAATTTTATAAGGAATACCTTTATAATGCTATGTGAAAAGCAAAATAAAAATTGTATAGAAAAATAAGAACAGTGTTTTTATTTAAGCAAAACACAGGGGGAAGAATGATAAAAGAAAAATATAAAAACATTACAACCCCCACAGTACCATAAAGGTTAGGCTGTAGGCACATTTACTTTTAACTGCTTGGACTACCCTCTTCTCTCTTTCCCTGAATTTTCCAATTTTGTCATATGATTACATATTATTTTTAAAATAAAACGCTCCTTCCCCTTTGCCTTTAGAAGGGGGAGCTTGTCTTGATTTTAAGCTAAGGTCTGTGTCCCTCCTGCTTCCACTTGCAGTTCCCACTGCTGTCCCTGAAGGCAGTCAGAAAAGGCCAAGCAGCTTGCTTCTGGATGTTTGTACACATGCCCAGGCTGGGCTGAAGATTTCAGCACCTGGGACAGAGTCACAAACTCCATGGGAGCCTACAGGGCTCAGAAGCCAGCAGCCAGAGGTTAGAATCCCCTGGAGGACAAAAACCGTGCTCCTGCTGAGTCCATATGAGACACCTGGGCAACACCTGTCAAAACAGCAGAGTTTTATCCCCCCCCCCCAGCCTGCCTGATGCAAATGGAACTTGCCCAGTGACCCGGCAGGGGAGGATTGTTGGTAAAAAGGAAGTGAAAACAAATATTGCCCAGATCCCTTTACCCACGTTATTAGCTTGGGAGAGACTCGCAAACATGCCAATACCAGTCACAGCAACATCTGCTTCTAATTGCTTCTCCCCCAGCATTTGCAGAGCTCGTCAGCTGGCGTCTGCCCTAGGAAAAAATCCGATATTTTTAACAAACTCTTAAATCAGATGGCATCCTTGGTGAGTACTTTCTTTCATGTTTGGTCTTTGAGGCTAAAAACTGAGTGTACCCTTAAGGGACGTAGCTGTCAGGAGGGCAGGGTGATCAGGAGGTCCCACTTCAAATGGTATGACTAAGAATTTCCAATTCGTACACCATGTTCAAATATTTTCTTTCACTTATCATTTATATCCTAAATATAAAATATTCTTGTTTTTTAAAAAATTCTACTGTATCTACTCTTTATGGGTAATTTTCCTCTCTCTTCCAAATATTTTTGTAAAAAGTTTCTTTGTAAAAGAAAAACATGATTTAAAAAAAAAATAGTACATCTGTGTTCCTACTTGTGAAGTACTTTAAGCAAGATCTCATCTATGGATAAAACTTTCCATTCTCTGTAAAGAAAAGGTCTCTGTTTTTAGACTCTCCTCAAAAACCCAGCAGCCTTTTCCAACTGCTTGTTGGGAAAAGGAAAACTATTTTGAAATGTCCTATTATCTCCAATGCAAGGAAATGGTTTTATAAGTTAAAGTCTTCATTCATCTGATTCATTTAATCCATAGGTATTTATTGAGTGCCTGCTTACTGGGGGCCAGTCTGAAGCATGAAAGTGAATCTGGAATCTAGGTCTTACAGGCTGTCTCCCCTTCTTCCTCCATACCACTTTGATAGCCTCTGCTCAGTACAGACCTTCTGAAGGCCACATCTGTCCAGGACAGATGCTTATAAACCTTCGTGTCTCCCTACTATTAACCAAACCAAAACACACGGCACTGAAAGTCTCTCTGTCCGGACTCATTTGGGGCCTGGAACCCACATCTAGTCAAGCCCATCTGGTCTCTTGTCCCTGCACACATCCCACACTCACACCCCCTATATTTACACACTCTGCATAACAGCCCTCCTCCATTCACTCACTCAGTCAACCACAATTTATCAAGTGCCTGTTATGTGCCAGACACTGTTCTACAAGCCAGATGACAGCAGCAAACAGACAAAAATTCCTTCTCTCAAAGAGCTTACATGGGAGTAGAGGGAGACAGGAAAATGAGTGACCACATAAAATCCACAGAACACCAAGTGATAAATGCTGTGGAGAACAACAAGAGTTGTAGAAGGAACTAGTAAATGTCAGGGGATGGAAACATTTCCTCACTGGAAAGGCAACATTTGAGCAGAGCCTGGTAGGAGGGAAGGAGCTAGCCTCTGCACAGAGGAAGCAACAAGTGCAGAGGCCCTGAGGCAGGAATGTGCTGGTGTGTTCTAAGAAAGTCAAAGAAGTTAGCAGGGCTGGGGGTAATGAGGGAGGCTCATTGAGGCTTTGTGGACCATCACTGAGACTCTGGCTTTGACTATGAGTGAGATCAGAGCCTAGAGGATTCTGACCAGAGAAGTGACATATCTGAGTTATACTATAACAAATCACTCTGGCTGCTGTGGTTAGAACAAGAGGGAAAGAAAGAGATCAGAATGGGAAATATTGCAATTATTCCAACCAGAGACAACAGACAGAGCTACAGTAGTGGATATGGAAAAGTATCTGCTGATGGTTTGGGCATGGAAGTCTGTTAAGAATAGAGACAGGGCTGGTTTTGGTGTTTTTGGCCTGAGCAGCCTGAAGGATAGAATCCCCTTTTATGAAGTGAGGATGGCAACTAGAGTAGATATTTGTGAGAAAGGGTGGGAGTGGAAATCAGCATTGGCCTTTAAGCCCCTAAGGGAACAACTCCTCTAAGAAGCCTCCAGCAGTGAGCTAAAAGTACTCAGCCCCTCTGAATACCACCCCCTCCCTTCCTCTCTCTCCTGAGGCACGTATGTACACATATATACATAGACACATACACACAGCACTTCTCTGCACCAGAACTCTCTGTGCCCATACAATACTCCCTTGAGCAACCCAAGGCTGGTTTGTTTTATGTCATTTGGAAGGATCTGTACACAGTAGGTGTTCAACAAATATTTTTAGTAATGGGCTTCACAGGATTGCACCTATCATGTTTTAATAGTCTGACAATTTAAGAATGTTCTTTCAAAATATCTAAAAATTATGCTTAGCACTGATTAAATATTAAGTGGTATTTATTCCATCTCAAGAGTCCCATATATAGATGCTGCCTTGCCCCCAATTTTTCAAATTGTCAAGGCCAGCTCTCCCACCAAAAGGCCAACCTAGAAAGATGAGTGTTACCTTGCCGGTCCTTATGTCCCAGGCTTTCATTTCAGAGCTGAAGCCTCCACATAAAAAAATGCTGTGGTCTCTTGGATGAAACTTCAAGGTAGTGATCCTAAAATCACTTTTACCACTAAATAGCTGTGTTCCTACAATACAAAAGGGGAAGAGAGAGTTAGAAAATACTAAGATCACAAAATAAATATCTTAAAACTAAGATGCCATCTAGGATGAGCCTGTGGGCAAACAGCTCACCTGGGCCTTAAGACTTTCTAAAAACACAAGAGCAGCAGCAGTGGCAGCAGCAGCATTTGCCTTCATTCACTCCCTGGCCAGCCTCACCCATAACTAGCTGGACAGCCACCTTCCCCAAGATGGCTGGATCCACAAATACCACCTTTTATGTGTTCTGTCAGCATTACACATATTAACTCACTTAAACCATACAAGGGCCCTAAGCCCACTTCACAGCTGAGAACAGCAAGGCCCAAGGAAATCATGTAGCATCTCCAAGGCTGCACAGTTAATATAGTAGACTATTTATCTGGGAGTGTAAAAGGCAAAATCAGGATTACTCCAAGGTGATATTTTTCAGAATAAGCCATCTTACAATAAGGGATAGTTTGCTATGGACTGCAGTGGTGTTTAATCTGTGGCCCATGGGCCTCATGCTGGTTTTGTGAAGTCTGTGGTATTGGATATCACGAAAAGTATACACGGACCTCTTTTTTGCTAATCAGCTATCATTAGTGTTTGTGTAGCTAATATGTGGCCCAAGATAGCTATTATTCTTCCAATGTGCAGCAGAAAAAAAAAAGTTGGACACCTTACTATAGAGTATAGCAGGTAAATGTGACTTATACACTGGGTGATTAAAAGGGGCCATCACAGCAGCCCAATAGCCACAGAATGAAAACGTCAAGATCTCCTTGGTTCTGTAGGACTTGAGAGAGTCCCTGGCCTTTACATACCTGTCCTAAACTCTTGTCAAGCATTTATATGCTTGTGGTAAATGTCTGTGTGTATACCTAAACACACGCATGCACACAGACACATAAGATATAAAAAATGTCTTTTTTAAAATCACCATTATTTTTTAGAGGTAAGCTGTATAACCTTCAGAAATATCAGTCATGTGGAGCAGGACAAAGCTGGCATTCCTTCCACTCCCCAAAACTGCCTCTGTGCACCAGAGCACCAATAGGCATTCTCATCTGCTCACATTTAACCCACCTGAAACTGCATGGAGCTAGCCAGAGGAGGCTCTTGCTGCAAAGTCCCAGCACTATCCCTGCTGTGTCCCACACACCAGGGATAGCATCTGGCACACGCCAGATTTTTCACTTCCATCTACCAATGATGCAGAAGGATAAGGAAACAGAAGGCTCTCCCAGTAGGGAGAATGGAGACTGCCCTGGGCCCATGAAAACCCCTTCACTGAACTGAGGCAGTGGGTAGCTTAGGGACACAGAAAGCTGGTGACCAAGAAGGACATCAACAAGACCTTGAGCATCATTTCCTCTTATAGGAACCTGAGAAGCAGTATTTCTGAATTCTCAATTCAGAAAACACTAAAAGTTGCTCTGCTTTGTGTTCAGCGACCCCCAGAAGCTTAGTTAAGTGCTCTACCATCTCCCAGGTGGGGAAGGAAAGTCACAATCAGTTCTCAAAAAAGTCATAGTGGAAGACTCCTCAGATCCAGTCTGCCTAGAGCCAAACTCATCCGATAATATGCCCCATTGCTCCATCAATAAAAACCCTTAAGCATACATCACCAACATAAGAATAGTTGTTAATTAGTTATATAATGTGCCACTGTGCCAATATATTGTGAACATTTTTAAATACCAAAAATAGAAGATTTTAAAAGGTGATATGCCGTTTACAAAGAGTAACAACAAACCTCTTTGAAATCATTTAAAATCATATGAGCAACCAGACTGAATATGTTTCCTTTTTTTACAAAAATGTAGGGAGCTTTTTGTGATTCAGTGATTTGAAAGTAGTCTGTCTGTAGGTTCAGTTTATCCACTGCACTCTGTCAAAGCTGACAAAGTTTCTCCCCAGAGGTGTGTGCACCCAGATAGAATATGTTCACCATTGGCCACAAGGGAGACATTTTCCACTTCCATTCACCAATGACGCAAAGGACTTTGTGAATATTTTGCTAGCAAAGCTCCATTTCCCCCAAAGTCAAATAATGGCTTCTGCAACTAATCAGAAGGTATTATTGCATTCTCTATTTTTAACAACCCAGCTCAAAAGCCACCGAAAATTTCATTTAAAGGATTTTAAAACAGATTAGAAAAACACTATTTCCAAATTTTTTAGAAAGCAATTACTCTTTGATTTGCTCAAGTGTTATAGTTACCATGATGGATAATTGTGTTGATTTTTCCCCCATATCTTCTAGGGGCCTACAACTGACGGTCACCTGTCATCAGAGAAGATTTTGGAAATATGTGATTTCTTATAAATGAAGATCCTATACTTCTTTAAGCTCCATGAGCCTCTCAACTATTTTGCTGCAAGACCCATGGCATAGAAGATGCTCACAGCCACCCTGTGTCATCATAATGTTGTCAGGAGCCGACCACTTCAGACCACATAATCCATAATGGTGAAGGGACAGTAAATAGCTAACTTGTCCAACTTAAGGGGAGCAGTTGAGACAAGTCTGGTTCTCTGCCAGATGGGATATTGAGAAGCCATTTAACACTGAAATCATGAACAGACTGTGGCAAGGTGGACAATACTTGATACCTGTTCTTTAACTACAGGAGTATTATATAGGAATTGATACCAACAAAGACGAGGGATAGACTCAACAAAATGAAATGAGCTGTTCTAGAGGTAGTAAGATATTATAACTTTAACTGTAGTAATATGGTTGCTGTAGTATTGTTTTTCTAATAATGATTCTTTTCAAGCCATCAGGGAGATAAGCAAAGCTGTATATGGTCTTGGTATTATGTTCCACTTTTACTAGATCAGCAGATAAAACATTACTCACAAGTAAACCAAAAAACTGCTTCTGAGTAAATTAATCTAATTGGAAATCTGGCATTTCTCAAATTTACTCTTCCTTTTCTTTCCTGAAACCTACTTGGAGCTCAGGTTCTTCCTTGCCTTTTATGCTACAGTTGGTGATCAGGAACCATTATGTGCCCAGTTGGCAAGTTCTTAGCCAGGGAAGAAAAGGCAGAGGGTGACCCCCACCTTGGTCCCCAATGCCCATCCACAGAGACTCAGACTATCACTGTGGCAGCACAAAGATCCCAAAGGTCGTGTTTTAGCCATGTGGCAGAGGGGTTATCTGGAGGCTGACAGTAGGGACAACCATTGTGTCACCTAAACAGAAACGGAGGCGGCCAGATACCACTGTAGTCCCTATGGCACCGATGAGGCCCAGATGGGCCAGAAGTCTCTTCTCTCAGCAGGGACAACTATGCTTATTGCTAAGAACATTCAGTGGCCAGCTTCTTGCTCATTTGGAATTCACTGCCAATCCTTAAATCTGAAAGGAAAGACAAACTCTGCCTGGAGAAAATTTTTTCCTTGTTTCTTGGACCACAGCATATAACCATATGCTTAATTTCAGAAATGGCAGTGAATTATCCATATGTTTTTTCAAAAAGTGCAGTGATACAGTTTTGCCAATGATGGGGAAGAAAAAAAGTGAAAGATGATGATAGAACTTTTTCTGCTAAAAAAAAAAAAAAAAAAAACCTGAATGTTATTTTTCCTTGACCCCCTAAAGAAACTGAGAATCTGTCTTTTAAATATTGAAATTTTCCATTTAGAAGACAACCTATAGTTTATGCATTTTCTCCACTTTTCTTTATAATGACCAGGTCTTTATTATTATTTTTGTTAAAAGGTTTCAAAACTAAAAGATTTTTTAAGATTTTTGAATAAGTTTCCAGATACCTAATGAAAAACATTAAAGAGAAATTCTGTTAAGTAAGATATCCTCAAAGAAGGCTTTGTTTCAGAAATTAGGACCACAACTATCATGTTTGAAGCAGAAGGTGGTATTATTGAACAGTTGAGAGCTATACAGATCCAGTTCCCACCCCCGCTCTGTCACTTCCAGTGGAGGGACCTTGGGCAGGTCTCTTCACTGCTATGTCTCATGCCCTCATCAATACAAGGCCATCATGGGGGCTGAATGCAGTGTGGTACATAAAGCATTCTACAGAGCATGGCAAAGAGCAAACAACAAAAGGAAGCTCTTAAGGTTTGAAAAGTTAAACTCCAAATCATTGAATTCATCCTTGGTTAAATTAAAAGCTAAAACCACGGAATATAGGTTTTCTAACAGCAAGAACCTTGAGAGATTAATGATTTTTGAGCTTTTGTCATAAGGCATTGAGAATACAATGTCCTCAGCTGCCCTTTCCATTTGTTAAAGAAATATGGATAAAGGCTGGAAAATATTTATCAGTAAAACATCTTGAATGTGAACATGAGCCATGCTGGAGGTGAAGGTCTTATCTTGCCAGGTTTGTTCTTATTCTACCTCTTCATAAATCAAGGAGCTTGTTTACCATATCCTCTCCTGGGCAATGCTACTTTAAGTACAATGCTTAGCTGTTACATAACCTTTAATCTTGTGCTACATATTGCAGGTTTTTCTGTTTGTTCTAGAAAATTCTGTTTATTCACTATGTGCTTATTATAGGAAATTGAGTTTTAAAATATTTAATCCACTGACACTGGCTTTATTGATTGTGTTATAATGAGTTCAAACAGTATAAAAACTATTCAGATCTTCTTAGAGTTAGGAAAAATTACTTCTTTTCTCCTTGAGTCGATACAAATAAAAAACAAAGTATCATTAATACAGAAATTTGATTTATTCTATTGACAGTATCATTACTACCAATGCCCCCATCTCCAATATTACCGTGATGCAGAGCCTGCTAACTCCTTGGAGCTGCCCCTCTTCCATACTCAGGTGTAGACATTGAGTTCTCAGGCGACCACCCACGTGGCCAGGGTAACACTACCTGTCCACCTGAATACCTGCCCTCAGGGACCCTATCATTATGAAGAGGTCCAGGTCTAAGAGGGCCTTCCTTTTCCATGCAGCATATCTGGCTCCTAGCCTGTTTCTGGCATCTGATAGATATTTGACCCAGGTCAA